AAAAACAAAAACTGTAAATTCTTACACAAAAAGGATTACATATTTCAGAAGCATGTTTATTTATTCCTCAAAAACTCATTCTCAAAATTATAACAGTCGATTTGACATTAATTATCTTACCTATACAACTGACGACGACAAAGCTGTAAAAGAATGGATTTTACATTAAGAATTTTCATTGATTCCAGTGCTTTTCAAACTGTGGATCATGAGTTTGTTTGGGGAAAGGGGTGAAAAGAAAATGTATTACTGGATGAGTTTAATAATAACAAACACTTCCGTTTCACCTAACAACCTTTTTTCTTTCACTAGGCCACGGTAAAAGAAAAGAGATAAATTATCAATTAACAATGATAATATGATAAATGTGGCATGGCTTCAAATTAAGTCCACTGCTTTAAACATTGTTTGTATTATTTGTTAAATAGAAAGGCATTTTTTCCTATTTAAAAGGTACATCTGCAAAAATAACTTTTCAGTAGACATAATATATACTAACCTCCACATGAATTTGCTTAAGTCCTTCCAAAGTTTTTTCATCCAAATAAAATGAAATAAGCCTGCAAAATTTAAAAGCATTTTAAATCAATGTAGTATTATTTGACATTAAATAGTTGTAGCAATTTTTTCTCCAAGTAGCTATTTGATTCTTTTTTAAATGTAAACATTGTGAAAATTCTGTGGCTATTATCAGCATCCCCTCCCCACACATGAACATCAGATTTTCCTCCCAGTATTTTTAATTCTTGGTTGTGATAAAAGCAATTTTTTTGCTAGGTTCATTTAATTTATTCTAAAATTATGTTTCATAGATTCATGTTCAATATCTCCTTTCTAAAACCTGATTTTAACAATATATAAGATAAACACACACACATACACACACAACCCCAAAGGAGCACTTCAAAAGAACAGGAAAATTACCACATACATAAATTTCCAAAATCTTAACAAAAAATCTTTGCCATGGCAAGTGTAGATAAATAATCAAAACACAAAGCCGAGGATTTTTTTGTTTTGTTGTTTGTTTTTTGGTGCCTTTGAGTCAGCATTGACTCCTGGAGGCTGCCTGGACAAGTCCCTGCAGTTTTCTTGGCAAGCGTTTTGGAAGTGATTTGCCCTTGCCTCCTTCCTAGGGCTGAGAGAGTGACTGGCACAAAGTCACCCAGCTGGTTTTGTTCCTAAGGCAGGACTAGAACTCACAGTCTCCCCGTTTGTAGCTTGGTGTCCTTAATCACTACACAAAACTGGCTCTCTCTAGTAATTTTAGCACCTTATATAGTGCAACTAACCCATCATAGTTCTGAATGGGATATAGAAAAAACACTGTCTTCACTCAATACAAAATAAAGAATGGAAGACCAACAGATTAAACTACATGAAGCATGATTTCAAGCCAACTGCTGCCCTCTATTCTGAAAATACGTATTCTTCCACCTACCCTCACATTCCCTTCAATGCAATAAACTATCTACCTACCCTTACTTAGGTAAAAAAAATACCATGCATTACTCTACAACAACCCATAATTCTAATCCTTTAAGTTTAAAATATTACCCAAAAAACCTGAAAAAATATTGATTCACAAATGATTAAATTTTCTAGTTCTCTAGTAACTATGATAAAGAAACAGAGGAAAATGCAGATAATGGTTTGCATCCTATATCCATCGGTTATTGGAATAATATCTGAGCCTTGGTCCCTTTGTAGTGGCTTTTAGAAGACTGATAAGGAGAAATCTCTACAGATTTTCACTATGAGTAGAAGTCAGATGTAAAGAAAAAGAATTGAACTATGCTGGGCATATACTCACAGTCAAAGTACACTAAGCATATACTTCTCATTAATAATACCCTTTTGTATCTGATGAATGTGGACTCCTAGATAGGAGTTCACATTTAATAACAGAATATAGGAAATAAATAATTCAAAATAATTTTAAAAATTGCACTCATGAGGGGATTTACCTAACTAATGGGTGAAAAAATAGTAAGACAATTTAAACACTGTTATACGACAACTTCTGTGACCACTTTTCTGATCTACAGAGGCAAACTACAAAAAGCTGATAGATGACAGCAACAGTGAAAGAAATCCCTGATAACAGTAAGAATTTTTCTTTTACTGTTCTCAAAGACAGCTTTTGCAATCTCAGTATGAAGTCTCTTCTTGGAGAGACGATGCAGGTACAACTTTTCACTTTGACTCCAGAGAGTGAGAAACAGTCTCAATCCCCAAATCTGTCCTGTCTGGTATCAGAGCAGGGTTTTTTCCCCCTAATGTAATCCCTCCGTACTTCATAGCAGTATTTTCTTTCTTCATTTTGCAGAGAGCACTTTGGTTCTTCAGAAAGGACTGTAGAAAATTATTTTTCTGAAGCTTTTTTAGCTCTTTAGGGGACATTCATGTCTGCATCTACCACTTCTAGATGTTTGAAGCATGGCCTGGTTCAGACATATCTGATAATAAATATGCAGAACAGCACTTAGACCTAACTATGCCTTTTAATCTACTGACCTACCCAGCCTGAAGCAGCTCCTTTTAGCTATGGGTTTTCTTCCGACAGTGCAAGTTTCTGACTCTTGTCCTCTTTCCAATACTGTTCTGTAACATCCCAAGGTTACAAATGCCCTCTGTAAGGAGAAATTATCTTACTGTGAATTTCTATTTTGTGAGTATCATGGAGGGCATGTGACCCACTCCTTTTTTCTAGGACTAAATAAAAATATAGCAAAGCTCTCTAAAACAAGAGCAGCAGTATTACCATCACTACACATTAGGGAAGTTGACAGAGTTAGAGGAGATTCTCTTTCTTTACTCTTTTCTTCTGTGTTACCCATTTGACCTGTTTTGTTTGTTTAGATTTTCAGTACTTAGTTATACCTATTCCAAATGTGCATTTCAATCCCTATAGGGACTATCATGCCCACCTGGCCAATCTGGGGTCTGAGATGGCTCTTCCAGCTGGAAAGTGAAAATGAGAAGATGAACTCTGCCTACTTGCTTGTGGATGAGACACCACCCCAACATTACAAATGCCCTCTGTGACATTCACAAAATAAAAATCCATGGTAAGGATTTTTTTTAACTATTTGCTATTGCAAACTGTTTTTTCATCACAGCAACTCTTCAGCAAGTCCTCCGTTATGCATTCTATTGTTCTTTGGGAAATGATAGTTATAGTTCCTTCATGTACTTTTTTTCTTTCTGGCTTATACTTTTCAAAAAGCTGCTTTTCTTGTTAAACTAAACCAACTTTACAAAATGTGTTAGAAACTTCTAGAGTACATGACCAAGTCAGACATTCGCCGTAAGTTTATATTTAAGAGAAAACAATTCACTAAATATGTTCAACAGGCCTGGAAATTAAAGAAATGATACCTTTGGAAACAAATTTACATCAACACAATGATTTAATTTAGCATCTACCTGAATTAACACAGTGATCTTTCACTAGTGTATGAAAGTTACCGCTAAGCGACAGCAATAAATACATACTTCTAAGATTTATGTATTTCATATTAAATAAACAGTAATCGAACAACCATATTTGTAGTTGAGTTGTACGTTTAAACTTTCTTCATATAGGAATCAGGAAAATATTAATTGCTTTACGATACTCTGAAAAAATATATTTCTATGAAGTTATCATTTTCTAAGACTTTTACATGAAATGGTGAAACAGGTTAAGGATAAAAAGACACCTAAATCAATATTATTGATGTTACCTCTTATTTTCTTCTGCTAGAAGACTCAAAGCATGGGTGATCTCAGCACAGGCCAGAATTGCTCCATGACGAGTATGGAGATCTATGCCAACTGCTAGTGGCAGCAGTTTTGGTAAAACTGTATGACAAACAATATGAAAAGGGATAAGGTAAATGATTACACACATAATTCTGTACAGAGATTTTCTAGAGAGAACATGTTTTCTCAAGGTAAATTGGAAAATGGAAGACTAGCAGGGTTTTTAAAAGGGCAAAGAAGCCACAGAGACTACAAACATAAGAATGCAAGATAAGCCTTGCTGGATCAGGAAAGGACCATTCTATTTTAGCATTTTGTGCATTTAGGAAACTTGCAAGTATGGACAGGAGGGCATTAGCCCTCTCCCACCATAGTTGGCAATACAGTGACATCAAGGCTAGTATAATTTGATTGCCTGAATTTATCAGTCTTGTCTTAAAATCCATCTAAGTTGCTTATCTGATGGCAGCATGCTCTACAATATTTCTTGTTACTGCATTAAGTTTGAGTGGATCACCCCAAATTCTAACAAAGTAAATGGAGACAGGTAATTCATACTTGTCTATCCATCTTTATTTTAAGCTAAAAAATCCCAAATACCCTAGTCTTTGCTTCAGTCCTCATACTCATTTTGGTTATTATTTCCTGCACCATTTCCTGCACCATTTCCTACCTTACAATATCCTCTTTTAAACTCAGAGACTAGAACTGTTCAGCGTTCCAAGTGTGGTCACACCCCAAATTTATAAAAGCACTATTAGCAGCTTTTTAAATAACCTTCCTAATGATTCCTAGCCTAGGATTCATCCCTTTTACAGCACTCTTCAGTTAGGCTGACATTTGAGCTACCTAATTACTAACTGCAAGCTTAGGGCAAAAATAACATCCACCTATGTCCACTTTACACTTGTTACGTTAAACTTACATTTCTGCTTGAAGTACAGAAACTTGTTTGTTAAAAATTAATAATAATGATAATGATAATCACAATCTTTGTTCCTGACTTCTATTCATGATTTATTGTTAATTAATTTTAAATACATACAAGATGTTTAAAAAATGAATAATTAGCATAATAGAGATTACTGGAAAGTCTGTCACATGTTAAGCAAAAGAAAGATTGGAACAGTTCTCAGCATTTAACACAGTATAATAGTCTCTCTAATATTGGTTGGAATTAAGCACAGAAATTTTATTTTTAAAATGATGGCTTTATACATTTATACATTTAATCAATAATAAAGTCTTGAGAATTGGAATTAATCTGTGAACCACAGACACTCAGGATGCAATCTTACATCCACCTAACTGGACCAAGGCCTGTTGAATGCAATGGAATTTAATTCTGCATAAATTCATATCTAAATATATACTGCTAAGTAACTTTTTTGATCAAGGTCCCTATATAGTTTGTAAGTCTGCAACATAAGATAAAGTGTTGGTTTCTTACTGCACTCATTCTAGGCACTTTAGAATGTAAGAGTGTTTGTACTCACCTTCCCTGGTCATATATTCAGGAGCCAGTGGAGTGAGATTATGCAGAGCTTTGGATGAAAACTCCCGAATAACACTAGAAAATTGGGAAAAGAGAGGGAACCAATATATACATGTAATTTATTTTACATATTTCTATGCCACTCACTCATGGACGAGTACTTAAAAACACACAAATGAAGACACAGTGTTAGTGACTAAATGAAACTACTGTTGGGCTTCCTGGAAAGAGATTGTCCAAAGTCTCTTATCAATAAAATTGAAGCTGCTAAAGTAGGGATCCAGTAACTTTTTCATAGAAGCTGTGGTCTGTAACTCTGCTATGCACTTTCTTTTCTGGAATAATCACTTTCAGAACCCAGTGAACCACCCCTCAGTATGTCCAGATCACTGTGTTCCAGGAGAAAAACAGAATGAACCATGAGTTCATTTTTTGGAGCGGTGAGCACATTTGAAATGCTGACACAATATGTACTCTCATAAAATAGTTACCACTATTTTATCAGAAAGCAAACTAGTGTTCACTTTGTACTGCCCCTTCTATTTCTTCCTCCTCTAGATGCCTGTACTGCCTGATTTCTTCATGGTGGTTAAAGCATCAGGCTAGAAACCAGGAGACTGTGAATTCTAGTCCTGCCTTAGGCACAAAGCCAGATGGATGACCTTGGGCCAGTCACTCTCTCAGCCCTAGGAAGGAGGCAATGGCAAACCATTTCCAAAAAACCTTGCCAAGAAGACTGCAGGGATTAATCTAGGCAGTTGTCAGGAGTCAATAATAATTTGAAGGGACAAAAACAAAAAAAATGAAATAAGAGCATATAAGCTAAGGATTCACCATTATTAATTAATATACAGATAATCATATTAACTAAGTTCATAAAAGCATCTCAGTCAAAACAATGAAGACATGATAGAATCTCAAAATTACAGAATCAAAAAAAAAAATTGGTATTAATTCATTTCATTAGCAAACTTGATTTGAATGATGTCACAAACTTCAGAAATAAGTGAACTAATGTTAGCAATTTGTTAGAAATGTGAATTTCCAGTTCAAAGAAGAAATAAAAATTATATTGATAACACATTTTAGAAAATGACTTTTTATGATCAAATTACGAATCACAACACATTAGCACAATTAAACATACCTATCCCAGTGGTTGATCTTCATGTTAATCAGATGATCAATCATTGGCTGTGTATACTCAGGAAACCCAGCAACATATACACTGAGGAGATTGAAGAAATGCACAAAAATCACAACCAGGAAGGTTGTTCAAAACTTGTTTCAAATAATATTGAGGCCATATTCCTATCTTCAGCAAAGAAACTGATTTATTTTCTTAATACAGATAGTCCTCGACTTATGACCACAATAGGGACCAGAAAACTTGTTAAGTTAACTGCACCTGATTTTATTTATTTTATTTTATTTATTTATTTAACTTGTCCCCGCCCATCTCCCCACAATGGGG